ACATATGTCGTGATTTCCACTGTACGTTATGCTATAGATGAGTCAGCCTGAGATAGCTAAATTTAGGATCTTTACAGACCCCTCCTTTCAGAATGTCAGAGTTTCCCTTTAACTACAGGAAAGAGGAAAATGATGATACAATTAGGATCTGGTATCTCAAAGACTAAGACGTCCACCACACTGGAGTGAAAAGGAGATCCAAGGATCAACCCATCAGGAAGACAAGCAGGTCAAAACTCGGCAGGTGGCCCTGCAGCGAGAGGATCTGCGGTCACACATGGGAGGACAGGTCAACTTGACGGGAAGTTTTAAGGACAGAATGCCCAGGACCTTGGTGTCTCTGGGTCTTAGACAAGGTTTCTATATCTGTGGTCGGGAGGCAGGGTAGTGAGGGGAAACCAAAAGCAACTTGAGGAGGAAAGGGTTTATTTCATCTTCCAGCTCGTAGCTCACCACCCAGGGAAGTCAGCAACAACTCAAGGCAGGAGCTGATGGTGCAGAGGCCATGCGTGACCACTGCTTACTGGTGGCTCCTCACAGCTTGCTCAGTCTGTTTTCCTACAGCATGTAAGACCACCAGCCCGGGGGTGGCACTGCCAACAGTGATCTGGGCCCTCCCACATCACTCATCAAAGGAGAAAATGTCTCACAGGCTTGCCCACAGGCCAGTCTTGTGGGGGCATTTTCTCAGTTGAGGTTCCTTCATCCCAGATGACTCAAGCTGACATAAAACTAGCCAACACACTGTGTTATGATGAGGGCCTCTCCTCTGGACCAGGAAGAAGGGAACAATGACCCAAGTGAGGTCTGAAGGAACTTGGAGCCGGCCAATAAAGCAGGAATAAGTTAAGGGCGTGGATGCAACCAGCAGGGCAGAGGCGAACAGTGGAGTGAGGCTGAGAGGTGAAGCCAAGACTGAACAGCAGAGGAGGCTCCTGCAGGCCGAGGTTGAAACTCAGAGTCCTGCCTGCGTCGTCCGTCACAGCCTGCTGAGGTCCACTGGCCCCGGAAGCTGTCGCTTTGCATACTCATGTGACCACGTGTTGCCAGGACAGGTTCTGCCTGGCCATTGTCTTGTCTGTGCTCCAGACACTCAGCCGCTCCACTGGTCCACACGTGCCATTTCTCAGTGTCCCTACATAAACTACGATGGGCTAGGTGCCGTAAAGGAAAGGCAGTTCCTTGCTCTCGTTGTTGTGAATACGGGCTGTGCGGCTCGAGCATCCTGTTGCCACCTTTCAGTGTGGGGACGGTGCTGGAGGAAGGGTGAGTCTTGCTGACTGTGCTGCCGCACCTGAGCCAGCAGGATCCGTCCAGGTGCTAGCCAAGCAGCTGCACGGCGCTCAGCATCCTACAGGCTGAGCCACGGGGAAGCAGAAATGCTACCCTGGGTTTCTAGAAGACAAATGTTGATGCTAGAGGAGCTGAAACACTGTCCTAAGCCAAGAGTCGATTGGCACGTGACAGAGGTTGTGGCTATTTATAAGCAAACAATGGCCCAAGGGGAAAAAAATGTATAAAACAACAAGGTACCAAGTTACATCTGTCATTTTGTCAAAGATGGAGAGCAGGGTGCAGATGTCATGGGCAGCTGGCAAGCACAGAGAGAGGGCAGTTTCACATACGAGTACACACGGTCTTCATGTGAGGTAACAGAGCAAGATGCAATGCTTGTCATGACATCTTATAAAAGAGCAAAAAATAATAATAATAAGTGAATAGATGAACCGGGGGAAGGAATACATTCTTGCAAATAAATTAAATAGAGATTTTTCTGGTTAAGAAAGTTCTGTCCCCTAAGATGAAAATCACTAAATGATGATGTCATCTGCTTTTACTGACATGGGAAAACGTGGTTTGCTGTTCAAGGCCTAAAGCATCAGGTGTGCTGTGTCGATATTTATAAGGCTGTTTTTCACGTTGGTGAAGAGTCACGGTTACAGGAACGGGGCTGGAGGACCAGGGTAGTCGGGGCTGGAGGACCAGGGGTGGCCCAACTGGTAAAGCCCTTGCTACACAAATGGGAGGACCTGAGTTTGGATCCGCAGAACCCACATAAATCAGACTCAGTGATCCCAGCAAAAGAGAGGGGGGAAATGGAGGCAGATCCCCAGAGGCTCCGAGGCCAGCTAACCTAAGGTGTGCAGCAGTGAGCAACACCAACTGTCTCCTAGGAGCAGACAGTGAGGATCGTACCTGAGGTTGCCTTCTAACTTCCACATGCCCACCAGGGTGCACACACGCCCACACACACACATACACACACACATACACACAAACACACACATGCCCAAACACACACACAGCCATCCATACACACACATGCCCATCCACATACACATACATGTTCATCTGCATACATATATAACACACACACCCATACACATACATGTCCATCTACATACACATGCCCATCCATATACATACAAACATACAATGCCCCAACACACACATGCCCATCCACATATACACACATTATCCTCACATGCACACGCCAGCCCACACATCCATGCCCATCCACACACATGTTGAAAGCTGCTCACTTATGTTCCTGTGACCCTGTCTGGGCACTGTAGCTAGAGTTTTCCTGATTTGCCCACAGTCAGGACAAATCTTTGTCACCCGCTAGTCCCACAGCCGCTCAGACCCAACCAAGTAAACACAGAGACTTATATTGCTTACAAACTGTATGGCCGTGGCAGGCTTCTTGCTAACTGTTC